TGTGTTGTAACCAGTGAGTCCCGTTTTACCAGCCATTTGCAAAGTCGTTAGCCGGAAAATGTCTTCCTTTTTTGGTGCAAACATGAATAGTTCCTTTTCTCCGCTGCTTGAGCTGTGAAATATGCGCTGGAAAAACTCTTCTATTTTTTCAAAGTCTCTTAAATTAGCCCCGTTTTCATCTTTGTCTTTCCAAGAGTTTTTAACGTAAATGTTTTGTAGTTCGAACAGCTGAAAGTGAAAGTTGCAACTTTCAGCCAATTGATTGGCTAGACACGTAAATTTCTCAACTCTTTCCCAATTCAAACTCGTTTTTAGTTTTTTTAGCATTGGTCTGAAGTCAGCTTGGACATCGCTTTGTTTTTCATCCCTCATCATAACAGCAATTCCGCATTCGCGACATGTTTGTCTAATATCCTCAACCATTTTCCGCAATTTCGGTAAATTTATGATCTTTTCCGGCCTTGATCCGTTAATCTCAACAAGGACCCGGTCTAACAAATCGTTTTTAACCATAATATTTCCGATGATTTTGATTCGGTTCTGATGATTTTGAGTTATTTCGCTAATCTTTGAGTCATCCTGCTTTTCGATGTTTTGATTTACTTCGATGAAAACATTCATCTTGCCTTTTCCTAAGTCGAGACATAAATTCACAATATGGTCTTTTCTCAGTGTTGTATCTTCAGCAAGAGCGGTTGCGATGATGCTCGAAGTTTCCGGAACTTTAAATAAGACAAGAGAGTATGTGTTTTGTGAGTATTGTTTTGCGCTGGTGTAAGCCATCTTTTTCAGGTGGCTTTCTCCGTCAATGGATCTGGGAAGAGAGAATACGCGTTGCTTCTCACCTTCGAGATACGGCAACGACGGCTCCAAGCTGTCGCAAAAAGCTCTGATTTGTTTTTCGTTCATTTGAGTATAAATGTGAGAACATAAAAGACCAAATTAAGACCAACTATTACTGTTTTCATCAAAACTTGTTATGGTTTTGACTAATAAATATTTTCAACAATAAAACCAACGCTTGATCAAATATGGACTGTGAATAATCAAAGTGCGTAAGCTTTAATAATTTTTGATCGAATGTTTAGAAAAAAATACAACTGTTTCGCGAAGAGATTCTTTTCAACCAAAATCAACCTTCACTTTTTTCCACCTAAGATCGAGATTTACAAGACATATAAAAATAAGTAGAAAAGTTTCCTCGGTCTGTTTTTTGAATTTTTTTCCGTTGTCTTGGCAAATGGTCTGCTGATGCATTAACAACATCCAGGACCCAATAAAAACATTTGATACTAGTAACTTGTTTGGCTACTTGAATTGTTTTTGTATACCGATTGTCGCTCAGAAAGTGGTCAGTAAAAATCGAATCTCACACTGTTCTGATATTTTCCTTCTTGACTTAGAACTCTTAGAACTCAAAACGTAAGAACCATACAAGATGTCTGAATTCTGCCACAATACTCAACTGCAAACGGGGCGTCTGATAAAATCATGAAGAGAAAAAACGATTTTGACATTTATACCGTTTTTTCGCGTGCTTTTGAGAACCTCATAAATCAATTAATTCTCATAGATGGTGACTTTCTTTGTACAGGGAACACCGTCTCTTCGTCACGCTATCTATTTTTGACTGAAAAAGGTTCGTGCAACTCCTCAGTTTAATACCAATCCTAATCTGATCCTCATATCTTATATTTCCTAGTCTCAAAAGATCCAGCGATATGTTGGCCCTCTGCGAAGTTAGAAGAGAGAAGAAAGCAACTAACTTATATCTTTAATTCCGAATTTTCTAAGCCATTAGGGTTTCAGGTTTACAAATATAGAGTAAGATTTAGCTATGATTTATGATTGGTTAGTTAATTATAGTTTACAGTGAAATAAAAATCATATTTAAATAATTAGTTGCAACTTGGCTTCACGTATCTAGGGTCTAGAGAAGTTTCACAACCATGAGTCATTTCAAGAAATGTTTTTTGAGTTCTTGTGAGTGTTCTTGTCTGTGTCTGCAAAATACATATGATGATGAGGGAATATCGTGAATCCAGAGAGATCGAAGTGATGTGCAGACAGGTGACAGTAGGGAGTCGATTTCATAATTTAGAGCTACCTGCGAGATGAAAGGTTGTTGACATTTCCTGAGAGAAGTGTCAAGTGAATAAGAATTCGTATGTAGAGTTTGGCAGCGAGCTGGCCATTGTTCTGTATCAATGGATTCCTGGTTGTCTGTTTCAATGGATTCTTTTCTGAATGTTAAAACTCCATACTTTATACACGGAATGTCGTCGTCTGATCATTTCTCTTTTGCTGCCCGTAAAAGATACTCTGTGAAAACTTTTAAAATATTTTTTCTGAACTTTCCGTTTTCGTTATATATAATCTAGTTGTTTTTGCAGAAAATTTTGTATTAGTTTGGTTATTTTAAATAGTTTCTCACACTTTAGTCACTATTAGCAAAAAGAGAGTCCGATGTGTCTAAGCGTGATGTAGCTCGATCTATAATGCCGTCTATAGACCAGGCTCACGACGTTTTACTAGTGGGTTTCAGTTGTGGGAAAGTACCTGAGAAAGGTTTATGAATAGAGGGTTCTTTTGATAACAACCTTTTTGTTACCTGGTATTTTTGTAACTTACAAAATTTGTTTGTGTTCACTTATTTGAAAGAGCTTATCAACTAAGATTAAGATGAAAGTCAACCTAAGGCTTACTAAAGTTGTATTTGGTCCTAATTTAATTCAGTTTTCGGTTTCAAAAGACCATTTTATTCAGTTTTCTAGTTTCAGAACAGTAATTTTCCTGTACTTGTTGGTAGAGCGGTGGTTGTGCGGTGATATTAGGTAAGCTGCGTTGATTGTTTAAGCTCGATACTTGCCGGGTTAAACGCAAACTTGAAAGATGTTCAAGCTGGTTAGAGTTGTTATCATCCATCAGCGAACTTTGAAATTCCTTTCATTAGTACAAATTCTCAAGCGTTGTTATAAAGAACTTAAACAATTTACACAAAAAGGGCCGTGTTGAGGGGCGAGTTAGAGAAAAGTGGAAAAATCACACATCAAAAGGTTAGTTCATCTGTTTTTTATGACCCAATTGTAATATTTTTGCATTGAATTACACTAAAATTATGAAAACACTGCTTAGTTACAATTTTTAGTAAAAAGTATCTGATATATTGCAATAAATTAGCGTCATTTGAAAAATCGATAAAATTGTTTCTGTGTTTTTGATTCTCGTATGTAAGGGTCTAATGAGAAAAAGTAAAAGAGTAAAAGGAAAATGTTGAAACATTTCAATATAAAATGTCAAGTAAATCTTTTTCGAACAAGTTCGATTAAAGAGTATTTATTTCATACTTTCAGCTGGTAAGCTAATAATTTTTTTTCGTTTTTAGTAGCGCTGAAAGGAATCAAGCGAACGCAATCAATAAACAATCAAAATTGATGGATGAAACGTTCTCAATCGTGCTCAATTTGATAATCGGCTGGGAGTTTCTTCAAGGCGGTCGGATGGTGGGGTAGCATCAAATTAGGAGGTACTAGAGTTGGAAGAAAGGTTAATTACGGGGACTTGGGAAGTGATGGAGGGGTGGGTGGTGTGAAAAAATTAGTTATTGGACTGCTTTCGGAGTCCAAAAAATCATTTTGGGTTTCTACTTCTCAAGTTTTTAAAAATTTGCGGAGGTTAAATGCGGTTTGTGTTGAATCTTCAGAATGCATGTTAGATGAGTTAATTGATATAGTGAAAGATTGAAAGTGGTAACGGATGCAGAGATCGCAGAAAACCACGGATAGAAGCAAAAAAGAGCGAGCGATGAAATACGTGGTCGGAAAAAAGATTGATGGAATGATCCAAGTTGTCTGCTCATGGTGGATCAAAAAATTTCAGAACAAAACTTAAAAGTTTTGGGTTGTTCACTAAATTGCACGTGTATGTCATTGATATTTTGCAGTTTTCAGATGATGTGAGCAAATTGGTTTCTTTTTAATCAATTTTATTAATAGAATGTGTTCGCGGGAAAAGTTTGTTTTGTAACTTGAAAATGTAAGCTTTTGTAAACGGGAATTTTATGAATTTACCTTTGTAATGTTGCTGTTGGCGTGTGTTTGTAATGCTTTGTGGTTCTTAGTATGCATTTTGTTTTGTTTCTATTTTGTTTCCGTTGTAATCGTTTACGTGCACTTTTAATAAAATTTTATTTTTGTGACGAAAAAATTCAAAAAGTTCCTGCGCACAGTATTTGGTCGACGATTTCTTGTCGGTTACTTTATGTAGATTTGGTCGACGATTGCTTGTCGGTTAACTTATGTAGAAATTGCGCATGAGTTATATAATCATTTAAGAAGTGAGAATGAAATCCTAAAACTTTGATCATTGCCTAAAAAACGGTTAATCTTTCTTGAATATATTAAAGCCTAAGTCTAAGAGTTCATTTTTTATAGCCTGCATAACGCCTTGAAACGCATATTTTTTTTCGGCATAACGCATAATTTTTTTCGGCATAACTCCTTGAACTTAAATTTTTCTTCTCTATTATATATATAATCTTCGATTTGCTTAAAATTTCCACTTCAATCTTGTGTATAGATGTCTGAGTGTACTTCTGTTTCAAGGAGTTTTAATAAGCTTTGATTACAAGATTGACATTGGGTTGTAACAGTTTTTGTGAGTAATTTTTTAAATTGGTGTGTGCAAATGCGATATTGAATGTCTGATTTTAAGTATATATTTTTTTGCTTTCAATTCAATATTTGGGTTTCTAGCTTTTGCATGAGTGCTTTCGGGTGAAAATTTGTTTAGTGGTTTGGTTAATGTATGGTATTGTAAAGAATATTTATCGTTTATCGGATTGCGTTTTTTTACATGGTCTTCTATTCTGATCCACAAAAATGGCATTATCTCAAAATATGTTTTTCTTGAAAAACTATCTGCGAAGTGAGATTTATTTTTATAGAAAACTTTATGTGATGGTGGCATCTTTTATCTGCAAAGACATATAAGGTTGATACTTTTATTTTACAAGAGTAGTTGCAAAGAAATGTTTCCTTTGTAATAAAAAAAAATTGAGCGATTACCTGAGAAGAAATATCCTGCAAAATGCGTTTTTATTGATGCTAGTTCGAATGAATGAAAAACTTGCATTCGTTCTGTTTCACATAAATGATGAAGTGTTTCGAGTTGTGAGAGTGAAAAATATTGAAAAATTTTATCGATTGTGTAGTCAAGTTTTATATCTGAGTGAATATCAAAGTGAATTGCTCGAAATTTTTTGTGTGCCCATAGTGATATATTTTTTTCATTTTGGAGACGTTTGCTTTCAGGTTATATGGTAGAAATTGTCCATATGTGTTGCGTTTGTTTTTGTATCCGGAGACGGGCTTACAAGATTTTTGACCATGACGGTTTTGATTATTTGGTAAGTCAGGAATAATGAGTTTTCCTGCGTTTTTGTTCAATCCTTTTAATATGAACACAGTATAAGGTTGCAGTTGTTTTTGATGTTTCCATTGCCTGTGGTTCTGGTTTAAATTGAAAGACTTGACTTTAAGCTTTTTAATATACCGGTTTTGCCGATTGTCTTCACAATCTGAATGCGTTAATAGAACATCCTGTTGTCCTGTTTGAGATGATGTATTGTCATGAGGTGTTTCTCAAAAACTTTATTGCTTATGACAATGCCTATCAAAAGATACATGTGTACAAAACTCCTGAAAAGGAAAACAAAAAATTTTTAAAATTATTTAAAAATAAGAGGTTCTGTTTATACTGTTATATTTGGTTGAAAACGTGATACTGGATGGTGTCTAATAGAAAGTAGAATTAAAATAGTTTCAAATTATAAAAATAGATCTTGTTGAGCTAATAATTGTAACTAATGTTCTTTTATGTCTTGTTGAATCTTGTTTTTTTTAGTTCAAACGATATACAGCCCAACTATGAAGTCTTGTGTTATCTGAATTTTGTCCGTAT